TTTTAATGTGTAAAACATTAAAATATTAAATATGGGACATAAATATTTATGTAAACAGATAAACACATTACCACTTCAACTCACACAAGAACTTCTAGTTTACAGTGTGGGCTCTTCAGTCCAGCAGACAGAAGCTTTACGCCAGAATCCTGCAGGTTGTTGTTACTCAGGTTCAACACTCTCAGACTAGAGGACTGGCAGTTGAGAACCGAGGACAGAGCTTCACAACTTCTCTCTGTGAGATTACCATGACTCACTCTAAAAAATTATAAACAATAATTCAGTTAAATTCCATCTTATTAATACCACAACAGCTGCACTCGAAATTTTTAAGAGAACAAAAAACACTAAATTCAAGAGTTTTTATGCTTAATTTAAGAGTTTACCATTCATAGAACTCATTCCATCAATGTTTTGACAGACTAAAACAAAACTGTCACATTTAGAAGAGCCCAGCAGCAAATGAATCATGTGGTTTGAATAGTGCTAGAGCAATATCATATTAGGGTTGACAAACAAGCAGGAGGAGCAGTGGGCAGCAGATATCAACATTTTTTGGCTACTGCAGCTATACGGACCAGCATGTTAGGGCTATGAGTAAGACAAAAGACAAATTCACAAATGGATATGTCAAGCGGTGTTACCTAAGATGACATGCCAATGTATATATCCTATGGCTTTAAAAGAAAAGGACATTGTTGAAAGGAGTCATCTGAGGAATTAAAACCCAACAAAGAAGCATAATAACTTCAACTGTGTAAAAAGCTTGTTCCAGGTAATACCAATCCTTTAGCATAATCTGAAGCGATAACCTGTGCAAAGCACACACAATGAAAGATTGTACAGAACCTGCCACTCTGTCTTGTACTATGGTTTACATCATAAAAATAAAGATATAAAGTGGTGTCATGAATGCTTTTGACTAAATGCAAGACACAGGAGACAAAAGAGCACTAAAATAAAACAGGACCTAAAGAAATCCAAAGATTAGAGATTCTTTGTACATTTGTCACACTTAAATGTTTCAGATCATCAAACAAATTTAAATATTAGAAAAAGATGACACAAGTAAACAGAAAAAGCAGTTTCTAAATGCAGGTTGTACCACCCTTAGCAGCAACAAATGCAATCAAACATTTGCAAAAACTGGCAATGAGTCTTTAACAGCACTGTGGAGGAACTGTGGCCCACTCATCTTTCCAGAATTGTTTTAATTAAACAATATTGGTAGGCTTCCAAGCATGAACTGCCTTTTTAAGGTCATGGCACAGCATCTCAAACAGATTCAGGTCAGGACTTGGACTAGGTCACTCCAAAGTCTTCATTTTGTTTTTCTTAAGCCATTTAAAGGCGGAATTGCTGCGTTTTTGATTATTGTCCTGTTACAGAACTCAAGTGGCGCTTCAGCAAGAGATCACTAACAGATGGCTGGACCTTCTCCTTCAAGATGTTTTGGTACACAGCAGAATTCATGGTTCCATTTACCACAGCAAGTCTTCCAGGTCCTGTGGCACCAAAGCAGCCTCAGATCATCACACTACCACCACCATATATAACTGCTGGTGTGATGTTTCTTTTATGAAATGCTGTGTTACTTTTACACCAGATGTAATGGAATACACACTGTGGACTGATGAGACAAAAGTTGAACTTTTTGGACAGAGTATTTTCACAAAAGTAGCCAGAGTTTAATGTTTTAGATTTTGACTGCTCTTAGATTTTCTTACATTGCAAGAAAAACTAATATTTCTTTGTGCAAATCACCTTCTTAGTGTACATTGGTGACTCATACCTAGACCTAACAACATGACAAATGTAGTAGTTTACTGTAATTTATACTAAAATTTAAGAATTCAAAGACAAAACAACATGTGTGTGAAATTCACTTAACTATTGGCAGATCTTATTGGTTATATCTTTTATTTTTTTAAGAGAGAACAAACACTTGATCTGACCTTAGAGTCTGTAGTTTACAGTGTGGACTCTTTGCTGCAAGCGACAGAAGCTTCACACCTGTGTCCTGCAGATTGTTGTCACTCAGGTCCAGTTCTTTGAGACTATAGCAGTCGGATATGAGAACTGGGGACAAAGCTTCACAACTTCTTTCTGAAAGGTTACAACCTCTAAGTCTAAGGAAAAACAAACAAACAAGAAGACAAAAAAAAATGGGTGATAAAGTGTATTCATGAGACAAGATCTGAGATTATCCAGTATTTCTAATAGCAGGACTGGCTGGAATACTTACAGATATAATATTAAACAGTGACTTCTACTCCATTACTAAAAATTCAAAGGTAGCATTTTGTGGAAGAAGTCAATTTATTTAGCACATTTAATTAGCAACAATTATTACTGTTTATTGTTGTTGCTTGTTAAAAAACAAAATATGACTTGATCTGACCTGAGAGATTCCAGTTTACAATGTGGAATCTCCACTCCAAGAGACAGAAACTTCACTCCTGAATCTTGCAGGTTATTATTGTTCAGGTTCAGCTCTCTCACATTAGAGGACTGGGATCTGAGAACTGAGGACAGAGCTTCACAGCTTCTCTCGGAAAGGTTACAGCCACTCAATCTGGAAAAAAACAACCAAACAAACAAACAAACAAACAATCATATTACTACTGGTCACTAACTTATTCTGTTACTAGTCAACAGTAATCATAGGTTAAATATAAATATAGACTAGAACATATTCCCAGGTGTGCATGAGGTCTGCCCTGAGTTCCTGAAGGCTCTGGATGTTGTAGGGCTGTCCTGGCTGACACTCCTCTGAAATGTGGAGATCAGGGGCAGTACCCCTGGACTGGCAGACCGGGGTGGTGGTCCCTATTTTTAAGAAGGGGGACTGGAGGGTGTGTTCCAACTACAGGGAGCTCACACTCCTCAGCCTCCCTGGGAAAGTCTATGCCAGGGTGCTGGAGAGGAGAGTCCATCTGCTAGTCAAACCTTAGATACAGGAGGAAAAATGCGGTTTTCGTCCTGTTGTGGAACACTGTACCAGCTCTTTATCCTCTTGAGGATACTGGAGGGCACATGGGAGTTTTCCCATCCAGTCTACATGTGTTTTGTGGACTTGGAGAAAGCATTCGACCGTGACCCTTGGAGTGTCCTGTGGGAAGTGCTGTGGGAGTATATGGTGTCTGGCCTATTGCCACGGGCCATTCGATCCCTATACAACCATTACAAGAGCTTGGTACACATAAGTCGAACTCGTTCTCGGTGGGTAATGGGCTCCGCCAGGCCTGCCCTTTGTCACTGATTCTGTTCATAATTTTTATGGACAGGATTTCTAGGCACAGCCAAGTGGCGGAGGGCTTTAACTTGGGTGGTCTCAGAATCTCATCTGTGCTTTTTGTGGATGATGGGGATCTGTTGGCTTCATCGGGTGATGACCTCCAGCTTGCACTGGAATGATTCACAGCCGAGTGTAAAGCGGTGGGAATGAGGATCAGCACCTCCAAATCTGAGGCCATGGTTCTCAGCCGGAAAAGGGTGGAGTGCCCACTCCGGGTCGGGGAGGAGTTCCTTCCCCAAGTGGAGGAGTTTAAGAATTTTGGGGTCTTGTTCACGAGTGATGGGAGAAGGGAGCCAGAGATAGACAGACGGATTCGTGCTGCAGCAGTGATGCAGTGATGCGTACGCTGTACCGGTCCATCGTGGTGAAGAGACAGCTGAGTGTAAAGGTGAAGTTCTCAATTTACCGGTCAATCTATGTCCCTACCCTCACCTATGGTCATGAGCTGTGGGTAGTGACCGAAAGAACAAGATCGCGCATACAAGTGGCGGAAATGAACTTCCACCGAAGGGTGGCTGGCCTCTCCCTTAGAGATAGAGTGAGAAGTTCAACCATCCGGGAGGGGCTCAGAGTAGAGCCGCTGCTCCTCCACATCGAAAGGAGCCAGTTGAGGTGGTTCAGGCATCTGACAAGGATGCCCGAACCACGGATGGATGGAACAGACTGCATGCCACACAGTGGCCAGTGAGTGGCATCACTCGATGAGTTACAAGAGTGTCTCCTTCACAAAAATCAAAACCCACATTTTTGAAACCTGATAACAACGAAATGTTTGCAAAAAAACTAACATCGTGATCCTAGAGTCTGACAAAATGGCAAACATCGAGCAGCAGGCACACCATGCCCTCAACATCCTCCTTTGTTGTATTATTTGTGTCTGATACCAATAATGGTACAGGTCTTTCAGCCGCGTTGCTATATCAACCCAAGCACATGAAGTAATACTTATTTGTAATGGAAAACAACTAAAACTGTGTCAAGTCAAGTTGCATTGAGTCGAGCCGAGTACGTACTAATGAAAAAGGACAATGTGTGAAATATCCTCTTAAAGTCTACTAGAAGATGTGAATGCGGCATCAGGGACAATCCCTACAGTGACCATCACTGAAACCAACCAGCTGATGTACACTACAACAAAA